GTGTTTATATGAGACTTACAGTCTGTGTTTGGTCCTAAGTGTTTATATGGAGACTTACAGTCTGTGTTTGGTCCTACGTGTTTGTATGAGACTTACAGTCTGTGTTTGGTCCTACGTGTTTTTATGGAGACTTACAGTTTGTGTTTGGTCCTAAGTGTTTATATGGAGACTTACAGTTTGTGTTTGGTCCTAAGTGTTTATATGGAGACTTACAGTCTGTGTTTGGTCCTAAGTGTTTATATGGAGACTTACAGTCTGTGTTTGGTCCTAAGTGTTTGTATGAGACTTACAGTCTGTGTTTGGTCCTAAGTGTTTGTATGAGACTTACAGTCTGTGTTTGGTCCTAAGTGTTTGTATGGAGACTTACAGTCTGTGTTTGGTCCTAAGTGTTTTTATGAGACTTACAGTCTGTGTTTGATCCTACATGTTTATATGGAGACTTATAGTCTGTGTTTGGTCCTAAGTGTTTGTATGGAGACTTACAGTCTGTGTTTGGTCCTAAGTGTTTGTATGAGACTTACAGTCTGTGTTTGGTCCTAAGTGTTTGTATGAGACTTACAGTCTGTGTTTGGTCCTAAGTGTTTGTATGGGACTTACAGTCTGTGTTTGGTCCTAAGTGTTTGTATGGGACTTACAGTCTGTGTTTGGTCCTAAGTGTTTGTATGAGACTTACAGTCTGTGTTTGGTCCTAAGTGTTTGTATGGAGACTTACAGTCTGTGTTTGGTCCTAAGTGTTTTTATGAGACTTACAGTCTGTGTTTGGTCCTAAGTGTTTGTATGAGACTTACAGTCTGTGTTTGGTCCTAAGTGTTTGTATGGAGACTTACAGTCTGTGTTTGGTCCTAAGTGTTTGTATGAGACTTACAGTCTGTGTTTGGTCCTAAGTGTTTGTATGGAGACTTACAGTCTGTGTTTGGTCCTAAGTGTTTGTATGAGACTTACAGTCTGTGTTTGGTCCTAAGTGTTTGTATGGAGACTTACAGTCTGTGTTTGGTCCTAAGTGTTTGTATGAGACTTACAGTCTGTGTTTGGTCCTAAGTGTTTGTATGGAGACTTACAGTCTGTGTTTGGTCCTAAGTGTTTATATGAGACTTACAGTCTGTGTTTGGTCAAGTGTTTGTATGGAGACTTACAGTCTGTGTTTGGTCCTAAGTGTTTATATGGAGACTTACAGTCTGTGTTTGGTCCTAAGTGTTTGTATGGAGACTTACAGTCTGTGTTTGGTCCTAAGTGTTTGTATGGAGACTTACAGTCTGTGTTTGGTCCTAAGTGTTTGTATGGAGACTTACAGTCTGTGTTTGGTCCTAAGTGTTTGTATGGAGACTTACAGTCTGTGTTTGGTCCTAAGTGTTTGTATGGAGACTTACAGTCTGTGTTTGGTCCTAAGTGTTTGTATGGAGACTTACAGTCTGTGTTTGGTCCTAAGTGTTTGTATGAGACTTACAGTTTGTGTTTGGTCCTAAGTGTTTGTATGGAGACTTACAGTCTGTGTTTGGTCCTAAGTGTTTATATGGAGACTTACAGTCTGTGTTTGGTCCTAAGTGTTTGTATGGAGACTTACAGTCTGTGTTTGGTCCTAAGTGTTTGTATGGAGACTTACAGTCTGTGTTTGGTCCTAAGTGTTTGTATGGAGACTTACAGTCTGTGTTTGGTCCTAAGTGTTTGTATGGAGACTTACAGTCTGTGTTTGGTCCTAAGTGTTTGTATGGAGACTTACAGTCTGTGTTTGGTCCTAAGTGTTTGTATGGAGACTTACAGTCTGTGTTTGGTCCTAAGTGTTTGTATGGAGACTTACAGTCTGTGTTTGGTCCTAAGTGTTTGTATGGAGACTTACAGTCTGTGTTTGGTCCTAAGTGTTTGTATGGAGACTTACAGTCTGTGTTTGGTCCTAAGTGTTTGTATGGAGACTTACAGTCTGTGTTTGGTCCTAAGTGTTTGTATGGAGACTTACAGTCTGTGTTTGGTCCTAAGTGTTTGTATGGAGACTTACAGTCTGTGTTTGGTCCTAAGTGTTTGTATGGAGACTTACAGTCTGTGTTTGGTCCTAAGTGTTTGTATGGAGACTTACAGTCTGTGTTTGGTCCTAAGTGTTTGTATGGAGACTTACAGTCTGTGTTTGGTCCTAAGTGTTTGTATGGAGACTTACAGTCTGTGTTTGGTCCTAAGTGTTTGTATGGAGACTTACAGTCTGTGTTTGGTCCTAAGTGTTTGTATGGAGACTTACAGTCTGTGTTTGGTCCTACGTGTTTATATGGAGACTTACAGTCTGTGTTTGGTCCTAAGTGTTTGTATGGAGACTTACAGTCTGTGTTTGGTCCTAAGTGTTTGTATGAGACTTACAGTCTGTGTTTGGTCCTAAGTGTTTGTATGAGACTTACAGTCTGTGTTTGGTCCTAAGTGTTTATATGGAGACTTACAGTCTGTGTTTGGTCCTACGTGTTTATATGGAGACTTACAGTCTGTGTTTGGTCCTGGGCATGTCTGTGATAGCCTGATCCATAGCAGCCAAACCTTCCTCCCATTGTTTCTGTCAAAAAATAAATTATACATTTAATTATTCTACATATTAAAATTTTAACAGATCACTTAATATTCCATACAATAACAAACAAGAGATCCCAGAGGCATCGTGGCCCCCGCCATTGTACCATCTACACATAAGTTCTTTGTCAGTTTGATCTTTATTGTGTCATATGTTAACAGTTAATTTACCTTGAGGTAACCTTGATCTAAATTTAAACTGCTGTGTATAAAAGACAACCTTCAAGGTAAGTTTGTCGTTTCACATATTTACTAGTACAGTACTAACTGTAAAAGAAATAGAACCGATCATTGCAATATGAGAAAGATCTGTTAGGTAAGTTCTTCCTTCGGCAAACTTGTTTCTATGATCACTATCAAAATAAAACATGCACAACTAAGGACCAAGGGGAACCTACACATCAAATTTGAGAAAGATCCCTCCAGTACTTTCTGAGAAATAGCAATAACAAGAATTGCTTAAGGACGGACGGCAGATGGAAAGACGGACCACGGACGATTTGATTAGCCCACCATCAGATGATGGTGTGCTAAAAATGTTGATGTCTTTGTATACTTTATTACTGGACAGGAACATACATTGATAATTGCACTGTAAGTGTCCCTGTCTTTGTAAACTTACCTTGTCAGCGTAGGACTGGAACATACATTGACACTCACACTATAAGTATCCCTGTCTTTGTTAACTTACCTCGTCACCTTAGGGCAGGAACATACATTGATACTTGCACTGTAAGTGTCCCTGTCTTTGTAAACTTACCTTGTCAGCATAGGACTGGAACATACATTGACACTCACACTATAAGTATCCCTGTATTGGTAAACTTACCTTGTCAGCGTCGGACAGGAACATACATTGACACTCACAGTATAAGTATCCCTGTCTTGGTAAACTTTCCTTGTCAGCGTAGGACAGGAACAGACATTGATACTTGCACTGTAAGTGGCCCTGTCTTTGTAAACTTACCTTGCCAGCGTAGGACTGGAACATACATTGATACTTGCACTGCAAGTATCCCTGTCTTTGTAAACTTACCTCGTCAGCGTAGGACAGGAACATACATTGATACTTGCACTGTAAGGATCCCTGTCTTTGTAAACTTGCCTTGTCAGCGTAGGACATGAACATACATTGACACTCACACTGTAAGTGTCCCTGTCTTTGTAAACTTACCTCGTCAGCGTAGGACAGGAACATACATTGACACTCACAGTATAAGTATCCCTGTCTTGGTAAACTTTCCTTGTCAGCGTAGGACATGAACATTCATTGACACTCACACTATAAGTATCCCTGTCTTGGTAAACTTTCCTTGTCAGCGTAGGACAGGAACATACATTGACACTCGCACTATAAGTATCCCTGTCTTGGTAAACTTTCCTTGTCAGCGTAGGACAGGAACAGACATTGATACTTGCACTGTAAGTATCCCTGACTTTGTAAACTTACCTTGTCAGCGTCGGACAGGAACATACATTGACACTCACAATATAAGTGTCCCTGTCTTTGTAAACTTCCCTTGTCAGCGTAGGACAGGAACAGACATTGATACTTGCACTGTAAGTATCCCTGTCTCTGTAAACTTACCTTGTCAGCATACATTGACACTCACACTATAAGTGTCCCTGTCTTTGTTAACTTACCTTGTCAGCGTAGGACAGTAGCATACATTGACACTCACACTATACGTATCCCTGTCTTTGTAAACTCACCTTGTAAGAGTAGGACTGGAACATACATTGACACTCACACTGTAAGTGTCCCTGTCTTTGTAAACTTACCTCGTCAGCGTAGGACAGGAACATACATTGATACTTGCACTGTAAGGATCCCTGTCTTTGTAAACTTGCCTTGTCAGCGTAGGACATGAACATACATTGACACTCACACTATAAGTGTCCCTGTCTTTGTTAACTCACCTTGTCAGCGTAGGACAGGAAAATACATTGACACTCACACTATAAGTGTCCCTGTCTTTGTAAACTTACCTCGTCAGCGTAGGACTGGAACATACATTGATACTTGCACTGTAAGTATCCCCGTCTTTGTAAACTTACCTTGTCATCGTAGGACTGGAACATACATTGATACTTGCACTGTAAGTATCTCTGTCTTTGTAAACTTACCTTGTTAGCATAGGACTGGAACATACATTGACGCTCACACTATAAGTATCCCTGTCTTTTTAAACTTACCTCGTCACCTTAGGACAGGAACATACATTGACACTCACACTATACGTATCCCTGTCTTTGTTAACTTACCTTGTCCTGTAAGTGTCCCTGTCTTTGTTAACTCACCTTGTCAGCGTAGGACAGGAAAATACATTGACACTCACACTATAAGTGTCCCTGGCTTTGTAAACTTACCTTGTCAGCGTCGGACAGGAACATACATTGACACTCACAGTATAAGTATCCCTGTCTTGGTAAACTTTCCTTGTCAGCGTAGGACAGGAACATACATTGATACTTTCACTGTAAGTATCCCTGTCTTTGTAAACTGACCTTGTCAGCGTAGGACAGGAACAGACATTGATACTTGCACTGTAAGTGGCCCTGTCTTTGTAAACTTACCTTGTTAGCATAGGACTGGAACATACATTGACGCTCACACTATAAGTATCCCTGTCTTTGTTGACTTACCTCGTCACCTTAGGGCAGGAACATACATTGATTCTTGCACTGTAAGTGTCCCTGTCTTGGTAAACTTACCTTGTCAGCGTAGGACAGGAACATACATTGATACTTGCACTGTAAGTATCCCTGTCTTTGTAAACTTACCTTGTCAGCGTAGGACAGGAACATACATTGACACTCACACTATAAGTATCCCTGTCTTGGTAAACTTACCTTGTCAGCGTAGGACTGGAAGAGTACTCCATACAATGATGCTCTAAGGGTGAGGTCGTCCTCGGGGCTCCCGATCGTAGAACTCTGTGGTTTATCCTCCCCAGCCACCTCAGCTCCAGTACCTCCCTCTTCATCCTCATTCTGCTTATCTTCCTGCTTCTCCTGTTATTATTGTGGGGAGTGTAAATTTGGATGATTTAAGAATCTACAGTATTACGTGAACTACATATATATCTGGTAGAACCACAGTCATATGACCTTCCAAGTTACAGAAAAACTTACATTCTAGATGCTCCTTTTTTCATTTATATTTTCTTTATTAAACACAAATGGTTCTCAGTTTAGTAATCTTTTGTACATGAAGTTGTCTCCAATAACAAACTTCTATTATATTTAGCTTAAGATATGGTTAGTATTGATAACATAAATCAACTCTCTCATCATTAACTTATATCAATATAATTAAAATATTATAATAATTTTATATGTAATTTTCACAAATCTAGCCTCACATAGGCTATGTTATCCGTACATGTTGATAAACACTCCCATTAAGTAAATGCCAGTCTTTTTCTTACCTCTGCCTTGCGCACAGACTCGGCTGTGGTGGTGATGCAGAAGAGGATGGCTTTGATTGGCTCTCGCAAGAGCTCCCTCTCGATTGGCTGACTGACGAGGGGCATGCAGGCATTCCAGTAATGTCTCGCTGCTGTCATCACCATTTCATAGTTGTCAGCGTTCCTCGCAAATCTACAAGATTATCATTGATAGACACAATGTGTATACAGGTATGTAAGCATAACATATTAGATAGTATTGTAAAACTTGGCACAAACTGAAAGATACATGATTGAAAATTTGATAAACTTTCATTGAATCCAAATATACTGATATTTGTTTTTTCAATATCATTATATGTTTATCCAAATAAGAATATATCATTCGAAAAAAAAAGTAAAATAAAAAAACACATACCAGACAGCTATTCAAAACTATTTTCATTAGCTTCAAGTGAGTATTTAGTAGGATACAGGTTGAGTCTTAAAATTTGTTGATTAAGTTTTGTTGATTTCTTAAAGCTGGGACAGTAACACTTACCTGGCACTGTTGAGGAAGGCCTCCATGGCCTCACGTCTAACAGCGTTTTTACCGGCCATGTTGTCTACCAGACTCTGGCCGAGGAGGCCACTAGCGTAACTCAGCATTTCCTGCTCCACCATGTATCTGTGGCTGTAAACAAAGACAGTGACACAACTGTCAACAATCAATATGGTATGATCTGATGAGGGTGTACAAAACATAACACCTATTCTTTTGAATAAGGGTTTAAATATTGTTGATTACCAGTACTTATTTTTCACACTTAAATTTGCAAATTTGCCTTCTATACTTATTTTCAACGTAGTTAATTCATATTTCACTCAGCAATGATATCTTACATTATGCATACTGTTTTTTGTTTGCATGCTATTTGAATTTTCAAATAGTGTTCAATGCAAATCCCTCCCCCCATAAAACCCCCCACATCCAATGTGGATTATCTGCAGTATGGAAATACAGAATCTTTCAGGTGGGTATATACTACAAGTATTTACACTGACAACAAAGCATGTCAGAAGCTGAGCTCCTCTCTTGAACAACTGAACAACTTGGTGTAGCTTCATGTTGACATTAGACTAGATAGCATGTGATACCATTTTTAAAGCACTATCCCTTTACAACGTATACTTACGCCTCCATCTTCCTATTCTTCGGCTGGGTGCCGACGGTAGCAAAGCGTAAAGCCCGTTTACTACAGCGTACAACAATGGCATGGAGTTTCTGTATGTAGGACAGAGAGGTCAACCTTGTCCACATCTGTAGCTCCATAAACTTGTCTGACCATGTACACTCATCCAGCCAGTTAGCTACCTGTATAAATTATCAGTGATTCGTTAAATCAGATATGATTCAATCAATACACTATACACATACTGGATTTCAGTTGCCTTTTTTATGTGTAAAATCAGACTCAATTAAGAATACATTTTATATTTGACCTATGACCTTTACCTCAGCAATGGTTGGTGTGTCCTTGAACTCCATGATACCGTTCCTGTTGACTGTCAGCATCTCCATGGCAACTATGGCTCTAGTCATCTGTCTCTGACCTTCGGTGTAAGGCTAGACACAAACAACAGGTAATTAATTCATTTCCCAGGTATCAAATATCTATCAGGTTATATTGAAACCAAAATTAATTTCAAATCATTTCAGCAACAGGGAATTTTCTAAAAAAATAAATGCACTATTCATGAATAATGCCTTCATACATCTTAAATCAAATACTTTACACCAGAAGAATTATCATGTATAAGTAATTACACTCCAGCCTACCTCATCATCAGCTCCAAGGGTTTTTGGAATCTGTGTTTGAGCCATCTGTTTGGCCAGCACCCATGTCTGAAGGAGTGGGACTCGTGCGGCGATGGGGACAAGGTGGAATGGGTTACTGCCATTGGTCACATCTATGGCGTACTCACACACCTGAAAGGATCCCAACGTTTAATCATTTAACCTGTTTACATTAACTGCACAGTAAGTCCTAGACTCATCAAAATAGAATCCCAAGTAGGACTGGAACAGGCCTAGGGCTGGTTAGCAAACTGAATCTGGTTACCTTTGAATTACTTATCAAGCTCTAACCAGATAGCCATGTCTTCTACCATACCAAATGATCATAATCAAATCATAATTTTCTGTGGATGGTGTGGTTGGATTACCAAATTACTAAAACAAATACAACTGCATACATATGCCTCTTATGCTTGATAACACTGCATTTAATCTAGGTTGGGGTTTCTGGCTTCATGAGTAACATGCTTTATAATTATACCTACCTCTATAGCCTTCTTCAGGTCTGGTTTGGCATCTGGACCGATGCTCACAGCTTGCACTGGTTTACTATTGTATCTACCTCCATAGCCTCCTTCAGGTCTGGTGTGGCATCAAGACTGATGCTCATAGCTAGCACTGGTTTACTATTGTACCTACCTTTATAGCCTCCTTCAGGTCTGGTGTGGCATCTGGACTGATGCTCATAGCAAGCACTGGTTTACTATTGTAACTACCTCTATAGCCTTCTTCAGGTCTGGTGTGGCATCTGGACTGATGCTCACATCTTGCACTGGTTTACTATTGTACCTACCTTTATAGCCTCCTTCAGGTCTGGTGTGACATCAAGACTGATGCTCATAGCTAGCACTGGTTTACTATTGTACCTACCTCTATAGTCTCCTTCAGGTCTGATGTAGCATCAAGACTGATGCTCATAGCTAGCTAGCACTGGTTTACTATTGTACCTACCTCTATAGCCTTCTTCAGGTCTGGTGTGGCATCTGGACTGATGCTCACAGATAGCACTGGTTTACTCTTTGCAGCAGCGGCAGCAGCTGGTTTTCCCTTCTTGCCCCCCTCGGGAGATGGTATGGGGGTTGATGACACAGGCTGATTTTCTTTGCTGGGCTCAGCTGGGATCCAGGGCTTCATGTAAGCATATGCTAAGCCTGTACAAATATTGACCAACATCACGGTCTCCCTGTAAAATAGATAAGCAAACCCATTATCGAAAACAGACTAAAGTGAATCAGTCAAACACAACGTTCACATAAACTCCTCAATGATGAAAACATGACAGGTTTGTTTCATTTTGTTTGATTTCATTTTTCACTTTTAACAAGAGCAAATGCAACAGGAGATTGAAATAGTATTAGTAATAATAAGCAAGGATGTAATGAACCAACTGAATGATTAACAAGGCAAACTATAACACAGACTCAACGGTTAAAATATTACACAAATTATAAAACGGAAACAAAGAAGAATGTGAAACCTTGTTCCAAACTGATTATTTATGAAATAGGGATGTATCTAGTGGTCTAATGTTTGCTTGCTGGCAAGTCTAGACAAAGACCTTCAAAACCTGTCACAGCAAGCAAGTCTAGACAAAGACATTCAAAACCTGTCAAACATATACAGGTCCATCAAACTACTGCTGAAAATGTTCCATATAAGAATAAACAAACAGATTATTCTGAATACACAAAAAGCCCCCAAGCCTAACCACTGCATGGTCAGTGGACTAGAGTACACACCCTGCATGTCCTATCTTACGGAGGCCAGCCACAACAGTGGCGAGTATTTCTATGACCTCACGATGCCGTAGCTGCGTGAGAAGGTGGTTGTTATAGTTCCAGATGTACGCCCCCGCACTACACACCAGCCAGGGTTCTACTAGCTCCACACCAAGTTCTAGTCCTCGCAGGAAGCTCTGGGTACTCTCCTCAGTCAATGATTTGATCCAGTCACTATAAATATTTATATCTTTAACTTGCTGTGTTTAGTATGATATATATCAGCACTGTACAGTTCACTGCTGTTGTCTGCAAGATATTTAATTTCACTTCACTAACACTCAAAAGAACTTACAGAAAATTAAATACTTAGTAAATAATTTCAAAACTTACATCATACATGTGCCAGGAATATGACATAAACAGATATGTTGCTTATATTATTTATCTACACACATTTTACCCCTACTGTAATCTGTAATAAGCACATTTTCAAAGCCACAAATAGGTTCTGATCTGAGAAAGTGTACTAGGATTTTAGTTCCATAAAATTAAATCAATTAGAGCATTATTGTTTTTTTTACATACAATGAGAAAAATTATATCACAACCATTATTTATTGTTGTGTGTATTCAAATATTTTATGATTTACATTTCAAAGTCTGCAACATCTGTGAAAGGATTTAAACTGAAGTTTTATCTCAGTATTTCAGTATACTGGAGATACTAGATCAGATTCATGAAGCTAGTGATCGTGTAAACTAACCAGTACTCTATCCAGTCAGGGTCCTCCTCTGGTTTTTTAGCCACGTATCCTTTGGGGCGCTTACTCTTGTCCACGGGAGGGATGGGCATGTCGTTTAGTTCCACCCCTTCAGATCGCAGCAGGTGAACATTGGCCTGAGGACAAAGTCACATTATGTACGTGGTACGACTCATGTTGTTACTGGCAATAACCCCGGATTATCATTAAGTTCCTTACCTTGGTAAACACATGACAACATCAATGTTTGTATTTACACTCTGACTTCATAAAGGGACAAATAACCCAGTTTTACCACCTTTTTCACAACTACACCTCATGGCTTTGGTTTCTGGAAACATCTTACTTACAGGGGAAGTATTCTTATGCAAGGAAAACTTCAGACTAAGGAATATTCAAAGAACTGTGGTGTGGGCTTATATTAGTATGATAGAAAAAACATGCAGAACTAATAATGAACTTGAAATTTTGTAAAAAAAATATCAAGAGTTTTTCAGAATGAAAAAGTTAATTCCCTTTTACAGTTCATTAAAAATTATATGTGACTTTGATTTGAGATTAAGAGTAGATAAACATTTTAAACATCTTGTTTTTCACAAAAACTAATTCACTTAATGCTAGAAAAACATAATTTGCCACATAACTATTCCCCCTTCCATGTCCTGTTAATGGTTCTGATTAAATTTGTAGTTACCTCCCCTTGAACGAATGAGACCTCTGCCAACATCCTGATGAGGTCCTTGTCATAGAGTGGCACACATCTCTCAGGACTGGTCGGACGGCTGATGTTACGCCCCTTCTTCTCCATTCCCTCGTACGAGGTGGCACCCTCGGCCAGGGTAGACATTACAGATTCCTTAGGGCCACCGGTCGCTGAGTCCTGACCCATCTTCATGGATGACTCCTGGACCATCCTCATTGATGACTCTTGACCTCCTGCTGCCCCCATACTGCTGCTAGCTCCCCCCTCACGTCGTTTCTCAGGCTTTGGGCTGCAGACAGAAGTCACAGCTCTCAAAAACACTTTAGTACCAATGTTAGACTCCATATAGATTTAATCATTTATTGGATTTCTTTTAAATATTTGATCAATTATATTTTTAAATTGTTATATTTTAACCCTATCATTTACACAGTGTCATTCTGATATTGGTACAAAAAGTATGATCTAAATATCTCCTTAACTCATACCTTTCCATTTTCTTTTCAGGAAGGACATTTTTCCAGCGTCCATCATCGTACAGGAGACAAAATCTGGCAGCTACACGACATACGTCCCAGACTTCCTGTTTACGAGCAGTCTTAGCCAGGTCACCCCACAGACGAGCTCTGTAAAAATGTCACACTCAACAGGTAAACAATGAATAGTGAAAGGATGATACCGCACCATCCAGCAAACCGACAAGTACAGTCTACAAGTAAATGTATTTATCCATAAGATTTCAACCAATAAAAGTTTTAATTGTTTTGAATTTTTCCACACATGTAAAAGTGCTATCATTTTTTTTTTATTAACTTATTAACCCCTAAAGACATATTTGAGCTTTTCCAATTCAAAGGTTGGAATAGTACATAATGAAATTTCAGGGGTGAATGAATTAATGTCTTTTAGATATATGTACAGTCTCAAACTGTGTAATTATTGAAATATTTTGTTATCACTTAAGAGAGCATATTTACATTGGATAGTCTCAATAGCCAAGTTTTTAACATTGAAAAACACTAGATATATAACCAAAAAGATAAGTTTGGATAACTCACCTCTCTCGATCATTCTCATCGCCGAGTCGCTTTAGATGGCCGGCAGCCTTCTTAACACACTTGTTGAACTGGCGTGCCTTGTTGGAGAGCTTCTTTATCTGTGTGAGTGGTGCTTTACCACCCGTCACATCTACAACAGGCATACACTTGTCTTAGCTTACTGGTACCACAGTATAGAGTCACTCATATACCTTATACTTACTGGTACTGTTATAGAGTCACTCATATACCTTAACTTACTGGTACCACGTACAGTATAGAGTCACTAATATACCTTATACTTACTGGTACCACAGTATAGAGTCACTGATATACCTTATACTTACTGGTACTGTTATAGAGTCACTAATATACCTTATACTTACTGGTACCACAGTATAGAGTCACTGATATACCTTATACTTACTGGTACCATATATTATAGAGAGTCGTTAATATACCTTATACTTATTGGTACCGACAGTATAGAGTCACTAATATACCTTATACTTACTGGTACCATTATAGAGTCACTAATATACCTTATACTTACTGGTACGACAGTATAGAGTCACTAATATACCTTATACTTACTGGTACCACAGTATAGAGTCACTAATATACCTTATACTTACTGGTACCACAGTATAGAGTCACTAATATACCTTATACTTACTGGTACCACAGTATAGAGTCACTAATATACCTTATACTTACTGGTACCACAGTATAGAGTCACTAATATACCTTATACTTACTGGTACCACAGTATAGAGTCACTAATATACCTTATACTTACTGGTACCACAGTATAGAGTCACTAATATACCTTATACTTACTGGTACCACAGTATAGAGTCACTAATATACCTTATACTTACTGGTACCACAGTATAGAGTCACTGATATACCTTATACTTACTGGTACCGTTATAGAGTCACTGATATACCTTATACTTACTGGTACTGTTATAGAGTCACTGATATACCTTATACTTACTGGTACTGTTATAGAGTCACTAATATACCTTATACTTACTGGTACCGTTATAGTGTCACAAATATACCTTATACTTACTGGTACCACAGTATAGAGTCACTAATATACCTTATACTTACTGGTACTGTTATAGTGTCACTAATATACAATGTACCTTATACTTACTGGTACCGTTATAGTGTCACTAATATACCTTATACTTACTGGTACCATTATAGTGTCACTAATATACCTTATACTTACTGGTACCACAGTATAGAGTCACTAATATACCTTATACTTACTGGTACCACAGTATAGAGTCACTAATATACCTTATACTTACTGGTACCACAGTATAGAGTCACTAATATACCTTATACTTACTGGTACCACAGTATAGAGTCACTAATATACCTTATACTTACTGGTACTGTTATAGTGTCACTAATATACAATGTACCTTATACTTACTGGTACCGTTATAGTGTCACTAATATACCTTATACTTACTGGTACCATTATAGTGTCACTAATATACCTTATACTTACTGGTACCACAGTATAGAGTCACTAATATACCTTATACTTACTGGTACCACAGTATAGAGTCACTAATATACCTTATACTTACTGGTACCATTATAGAGTCACTAATATACCCAATACTAATCTCAAGCCAGTCTGTTATCATCTTAATACACGGTACACAATAATTTACTGATGTTGAATGGGTTGGATGAAATCATATAAGGCAATCCGTGGGAAACAATCTGAGCTGATTGTCTAAAAAATACAGGTATTGACAGCTCACTTAACAAGCTCAATGTGCAAACCGGAGCAGATATTTTGTCAGATACAAAGGGAACTTATCCCTATTCTAGAATGGAAATAAACAGAAAGTATTTGGTAAAGATATAACTAAACATGACCATACTGTATTTAGTTATGATAATTAGCCTAGGGGGCCTTTTCCTTAAAAAAGTGTGAAATAAACTTATAGTACAACCCTGTACAAAGGAAGGGCTTACTTTCAGAAATAGTGCAAGACAGTCAACACAATAACATTACCAAATCATCAAGAATATGATAGTATACCATACACTTGAAAATTAAATTGTCTCAGAATTTCATTTGTTAATATGACATAATTTTAATTAACAGAAAAAGTTAATACTGAGTTTCAAATTAAATATAGCTTGCTTTGGTTAAATACATTAAGTAGCTGCTTCAATTGGTCATATCTAATTCGTATACAGTTAAATTGCAACTCATAATTAAGTGCATGACCTTATGATTAAATGGAAATTATTTATTTCATTAACTTAATTAGGATGCTGCTGAAGTTATTCTGTACAATGTAAAAGCATATATGACTGATCCAGTTTAATAATTAAATGTTAACGTTTGACACTTTAATTATGACGTGACCATTGAAATCATTTTGCTTAAGGAACACATCTATATAAAACATGTCCGGTTCAGTTTCAGACATCTGCTAAGCCACACAGATCTAAAAAACAATTACAAAGTTTCCTGCATGGGTCTTTTGATGACGAACAACTCAAACTTTATCCACATGTCCAGGTTTTTAAATCCTTTAATGGTAACTGAAATCTAACATTAAACACGTCCCAGTAACCAAATTCTAAAACTATTTTCCATGTCCACATTAGGTAATGCAGAACACTACTTTGATTAGACGGAACAGAAAAATGAGTTCAGCAGCAAAGAATGAAATTAAATTAGACAGTTCTAATTTTATTTGACAATTACTTTACTACAATAATCCCTATTATAAGGTAGATTTAGAATGAACAGAATGAGTACTTGGAATTATAAAACGGATCTAAAGTACCTTCTACGTCATAGAAAACCCACAGAAATTTATGGTAGCAAATTAAGGAAATGATTGAGGTTATTTGTACCTGACATCAGTACTTAGCTTGGCTGTGAAGTTAATTATTTTGCATCATTTCCTGACAACCATTATTGGCAGTTACCTCACATAGTGTTACACCTATATCTTAAACATGCTAGCAGTCTGTCGGACAGATCTTTAGAGACACAGTGTTATACCTATCATTTAAACATGCTAGCAGTCTGTCGGACAGATATGTAGAGACAGAGGGTTGCACCTATCACTTAAACATGCTAGCAGTCCGTCGGACAGATCTGTAGAGACACAGGGTTACCCCTATCACTTAAACATGCTAGGAGTCTGTCGGACAGATCTGTAGAGACACAACCACTTAAACATGCTAGCAGTCTGTTAGACAGATCTGTAGAGACACAGTGTTAAAACATGCTAGCAGTCTGTCGGACAGATCTTTAGAGACACAGTGTTACACCTATCACTTAAACATGCTAGCATTCTGTTGAACAGATCTGTAGAGACACAGTGTTACACCTACCACTTAAACATGTTAGCAGTCTGTCGGACAGATCTGTAAAGACACAGTGTTATACCTATCACTTAAATATGCTAGCAGTCTGTCGGACAGATCTTTAGAGACACAGTGTTATACCTATCACTTAAATATGCTAGCAGTCTGTCGGACAGATCTGTAGAGACACAGGGTTACACCTATATCTTAAACATGCTAGCAGTCTGTCGGCCAGATCTGTAGAGACACAGTGTTACCCCTATCACTTAAATATGCCAGCATTCTGTTGAAAAGATCTGTAGAGACACAGTGTTACACCTACAACTTAAACATGCTAGCAGTCTGTCGGCCAGATCTGTAGAGACACAGTGTTACCCCTATCACTTAAATATGCCAGCATTCTGTTGAAAAGATCTGTAGAGACACAGTGTTACACCTACCACTTAAACATGCTAGCAGTCTGTCCGACAGATCTTTAGATACACAGTGTTACTTTTATCACTTAAACATGCCAGCATTCTGTTGAACAGATCTGTAGAGACACAGTGTTACCCCTATCACTTAAATATGCCAGCATTCTGTTGAAAAGATCTGTAGAGACACAGTGTTACACCTACCACTTAAACATGTTAGCAGTCTGTCGGACAGATCTGTAAAGACACAGTGTTATACCTATCACTTAAATATGCTAGCAGTCTGTCGGACAGATCTGTAGACACAGTGTTACCCCTATCACTTAAATATGCCAGCATTCTGTTGAAAAGATCTGTAGAGACACAGTGTTACACCTACCACTTAAACATGTTAGCAGTCTGTCGGACAGATCTGTAGACACAGTGTTACCCCTATCACTTAAATATGCCAGCATTCTGTTGAAAAGATCTGTAGAGACACAGTGTTACACCTACCACTTAAACATGTTAGCAGTCTGTCGGACAGATCTGTAGAGACAGAGTGTTACCCCTATCACTTAAACATGCTAGGAGTCTGTCGGACAGATCTGTAGAGACTATCACTTAAACATGCTAGCAGTCCGTCGGACAGATCTGTAGAGACACAGGGTTACACCTATATCTTAAACATGCTAGCAGTCTGTCGGCCAGATCTGTAGAGACACAGTGTTACCCCTATAACTTAAACATGCTAGCAGTCTGTCGGCCAGATCTGTAGAGACACAGTGTTACACCTACCACTTAAACATGTTAGCAGTCTGTCGGACAGATCTGTAGACACAGTGTTACCCCTATCACTTAAATATGCCAGCATTCTGTTGAAAAGATCTGTAGAGACACAGTGTTACACCTACCACTTAAACATGTTAGCAGTCTGTCGGACAGATCTGTAGAGACAGAGTGTTACACCTATCACTTAAACCTGCTAGCAGTCTGTCGGACAGATCTTTAGAGACACAGTGTTACACCTATCACTTAAACATGCCAGCATTTTGTTGAACAGATCTGTAGAGACACAGTGTTACCCCTATCTCTTAAACATGCTAGCAGTCTGTCGGCCAGATCTGTAGAGACACAGTGTTACCCCTATAACTTAAACATGCTAGCAGTCTGTCGGACAGATCTGTAGAGACAAAGTGTTACCCCTATCACTTTAACATGCTAGCAGTCTATCGGACAGATCTGTAGAGACACAGTGTTACACCTATATCTTAAACATGCTAGCAGTCTGTCGGACAGATCTGTAGAGACACAGTGTTACCCCTATCACTTAAACATGCTAGCAGTCTGTCTGACAGATCTGTAGAGACACAGTGTTACACCTACCACTTAAACATGCTAGCAGTCTGTTAGACAGATCTGTAGAGACACAGTGTTATACCTATCACTTAAATATGCTAGCAGTCTGTCGGACAGATCTGTAAAGACACAGTGTTATACCTATCACTTAAACATGCTAGCAGTCTGTCGGACAGATCTGTAGAGACACAGTGTTATACCTATCACTTAAACATGCTAGCAGTCTGTTGGACAGATCTGTAGAGACAGAGCAGGAGAAAATGTTTGTGAATGCAAGCCTTAAGATGGTGATTCTAACTTTTAGCATGTCACGTCTGTAACACTGTCCAGGGGGAAAACACTACCGTATGTAAAGGTATTACACACCCAACACACCTGGACCTTATGTTTAACATCCCCAACACACCATGGCTGTAATAATTGTCTTGCTATTAGGAGCAAGTTATGTTCTGTATTTTAAAACATGGACACTCCAAATATTATTTGCTATTCTATCTATCTGTTAACATGAACATATACACCGTATAATGTAACTTTGAAAACCAGCAATTAAGTTTTTAAAACTTACAGAACTTTTATTACCATCAAGAATTACATAAATAAATTGCAAAAAATGCAATTTCTGGTATATGTTCTGATAATGCTCTGTTGACATGATAATGTCAATGAAAACCTTTTGACATTTACCCCAGTTTAACAACCCAAAATACCTTTGGAATATAATCAGAGTTCAGTATACCACATAATTGTAGTTCTAACTGATGTATAGAAGATATTTTCTCCTGGACAGAGATACAGACAGATGAGATGATAGTGATGTGGCTCGGACTAGTCTCTATCACTAGCTTCACCCATCAGAGATGCCCGTGTCTGGCAGTGTCTACTTCCTACGGTCATGTGACTGTGTTTGAGTCGTCATGGTGAAGCATGCTCACATCAGCAGGTATATAAAGTGACACTGTGTCTAATCAGATTCACAAAACAACAGCGCATTGTAACTGTATTCTCATATTTACAATCAAAAGTAAAAGTTTCCAAAATTGACCTCATTGAACATCTAACACCTTTTTTTAAGATAAAGCTGAAACATGTAATGAAAACTGGCCAGGTGATTTGTACTGCTATCTGTGAGCACATTACATAAGGTTACACCTACAGAGTGTTAGCATGCTTCACCACAGTAACTATCAGACTTAATTAGTAACATAGTTTATATAGAAGTGAACCTGTAAACTGACGGTCCTTGTTCTCTGAAATAACAAAATATTCATCAAATCTCTGTTAAAAAAATAAAATACGGAGTATACATGTATTTGTAATTGTAAAAAATATAACATTGTAGCAAATCATAAAACAGTAAGATTGCTGTAACAATTATCAGGGACCAGTTTTATCAATATCCATGCCACATGTAAGATTAACATGACTCGGATCAGCCATCAATAAGGCAATATTAAAGTTTGACAATTTCAGAATAATTATATCTGAAAGTGACAACAAAATACTTGTATTACCGTTAATTAACCAAATGATCAGGTTTTTAAAAGAAAAAAAGAAAATTGTCTCAGGGTGTGGATTTTGTTAAAACTGATTCCTGAAAAAGCCTGAACAAAACAGAACAAAAGGATACAAACAGTAATATATAACACAACAAAGTTAGTAGGGAGCTCACTGGGAGTTCACTGGGATCTCACTGGGAGCTCACTGGTCATTTGTAGTACAGTAAAAAAGACCAACATAATAATAAACAGTGCATTTACATACCGTTGTTATCAAGCGAAATCTGGTCCTCAAGTAATTCTTAACAAATATTTGTATGTTGATGAATTCTTCAGATTCTATTGCCACATTAATTTATACCTAAATCATTCAGAATCTAGCTAAAGAAATACAGTCTGATTACCTTAGTCTCAAATAATACTAATTTTGTGTTGATATCAGTTTCCCAAATTAAATTAGGATCTGACATATATCATAAATCTGGTTTTTCATGTGTGTACCTAATAACAAGTAATATGTCATCAGAGCTATCCAATTTTATTTTTGAGCATCTGGTGGGAGTAGGTTGGCACTTAAATACAATATAAGCGAAGGCAGAGAAGCGCTTTTATTGGTAATAATATGAAGGAAGGGTTTGAATGATTGATTGTTAGACTACATACATATGTTGTGAGGATAAGTAGGGATGGGAGGTGGGGGCAGCGTGGGCTGGGAGATGGGGGCAGCATGGGATGGGAGATGGGGGCAGCATGGGCTGGGAGATGGGGGCAGCGTGGGATGGGAGATGGGGGCAGCGTGGGCTGGGAGATGGGGGCAGCGTGGGATGGGAGATGGGGGCAGCGTTGGATGGGAGATGGGGGCAGCGTGGGCTGGGAGATGGGGGCAGCGTGGGATGGGAGATGGGGGCAGCGTGGGCTGGGAGATGGGGGCAGCGTGGGATGGGAGATGGGGACAGCGTGGGATGGGAGATGGGGGCAGCGTGGGATGGGTACTAAGGAGCATACTTTTGCTGCGATGTGATTTTGTTTCAATGTCATTTTCAAATATTGACTGTTTCATCAAGGAAGGTTATATTCACTTCAGTGATTGGACAATATTTAGTCGTGATATACATATAGTGTCAAAATAAAGGCCCAAACTTGTATTTAATCTAGACCTGGTGCCCTTATTAGGTTAAACAAAGCACACTCTTTGTTTTGTGATATAATTTTTAAGACCAATATCATTCACTTCAAAAGTTGGATTATCTTAGGAAACAATACCTACACATTACAAACATCTCACACACAACACAATCCCTAATATACATTACAGTGACCTTCACTGACCTTTGGTGTCACTCTCACTGTCCAGTACTAACAGGAAAGCATCTGGAGCTAGGGCTTCTCCAGCTTTGACCAGGAGTGACCGCTTCATCCTGATGGTGCCTGAGTCGGCCTTTCTCGCCTGAAACATATTACATCATTAATAACCAACTCACAGCACAATATATTGTAATGGTAATGCCAAGAGGCTAGAGTATCTTCATAAAATCATTTTTTTCTTTTCAAATCTCTATATCTGTATTTATTACCATTCTGAAAAAGATAAAATTAGGGCTACTGACATTAACAGTGTTGCACAAAATGTTAAATTTGTTCCAAAAACAAAACTGCCAAAAATTTGACCTCACAAAATTTAAGTGCTATATTGTATCTGTATGTTACAAAAAATTGACAGCCTAACTTGAGCCATCCATGAAGCATACATTAACATTGTTCAGTCTAGACCGTAATATTGCCTCTAGCTTCTCATAGATACATTTTTGTGAGTTTTACTTCTTACCTGTTCTATAATCATGGCTGCGATGTCCTCGGGTCTCTCAGGCTGTTGGTACAACTGGGACCTCAGCTCTAGTCTGCGTAGAGACACCTCCAGTCTCTCACGGTACACATTCCCATCATCTAGTGCTAAGGCCTGGAGAATATCAACACATTACAGTAACATTTAAATGTGACCTCAGCTCTAGTCTACGTAGAGAAACCTCCAGTCTCTCACGGTACACATTCCCATCATCTAGTGCTAAGGCCTGGAGAATATCAACAGAGGACAGTAACATTTAAATGTGACCTTAGCTCTAGTCTGCGTAGAGACTCCTCCAGTCTCTCACGCTACACATTCCCATCATCTAGTGCTAAAGCCTGGAGAATATCCAGGCTGTTGGTACAACTGGGACCTCAGCTCTAGTCTGTGTAGAGACACCTCCAGTCTCTCATGGTACACATTCCCATCATCTAATGCTAAAGCCTGGAGAATATCAACATATTACAGTAACATTTAAATGTAACCTCAGCTCTAGTCTGTGTAGAGACACCTCCAGTCTCTCACGGTACACATTCCCATCATCTAGTGCTTAGGCCTAGAGATATCAACACAATACAATAACATTTAATGTGACCTCAGCTCTAGTCTGTGTAGAGACACCTCCAGTCTCTCACGGTACACCTTCCCATCAACTAACGCTAAGGCCTAGAGAATATCAATACAATACAATAACATTTAAATGTGACCTCAGCTCTAGTCTGTGTAGAGACACCTCCAGTCTCTCATGGTACACATTCCCATCATCTAATGTTAAAGCCTGGAGAATATCAACATATTACAGTAACATTTAAATGTAACCTCAGCTCTAGTCTGTGTAGAGACACCTCCAGTCTCTCAGGGTACACATTCCCATCATCTAATGCTAAAGCCTGGAGAATATCAACAGAGGACAGTAACATTTAAATGGAACCTCAGCTCTAGTCTGTGTAGAGACACCTCCAGTCTCTCAGGGTACACATTCCCATCATCTAATGCTAAAGCCTGGAGAATATCCAGGCTGTTGGTACAACTGGGACCTCAGCTCTAGTCTGCGTAGAGACACCTCCAATCTCTCACGGTACACATTCCCATCATCTAGTGCTTAGGCCTAGAGATATCAACACAATACAATAACATTTAACTGTGACCTCAGCTCTAGTCTGTGTAGAGACACCTCCAGTCTCTCATGGTACACATTCCCATCATCTAATGTTAAAGCCTGGAGAATATCAACATATTACAGTAACATTTAAATGTAACCTCAGCTCTAGTCTGTGTAGAGACACCTCCAGTATCTCATGGTACACATTCCCATCATCTAATGCTAAAGCCTGGAGAATATCCAGGCTGTTGGTACAACTGGGACCTCAGCTCTAGTCTGCGTAGAGACACCTCCAATCTCTCACGGTACACATTCCCATCATCTAGTGCTAAGACCTAGAGAATATCAACACAATACAATAACATTTAAATATGACCTCAGCTCTAGTCTGTGTAGAGACACCTCCAGTCTCTCATGGTACACATTCCCATCATCTAATGTTAAAGCCTGGAGAATATCAACATATTACAGTAACATTTAAATGTAACCTCAGCTCTAGTCTGTGTAGAGACACCTCCAGTCTCTCATGGTACACATTCCCATCATCTAATGCTAAGGCCTAGGGATCTAGTGCTAAGGCCTGGAGAATATCAACACATTACAGTAACATTTAAATGTGACCTCAGCTCTAGTCTACGTAGAGAAACCTCCAGTCTCTCACGGTACACATTCCCATCAACTAACGCTAAGGCCTAGAGAATATCAATACAATACAATAACATTTAAATGTGACCTCAGCTCTAGTCTGCGTAGAGACCCCTCCAGTCTCTCACGGTACACATTCCCATCATCTAATGCTAAGGCCAAGGGAATATCAACACAATACAATAACATTTAAACATGACCTCAGCTCTGGTCTGTGTAGAGACACCTCCAGTCTCTCACGGTACACATTCCCATCATCTAATGCTAAGGCCTAGAGAATATCAACACAATACAATAACATTTAAATGTGACCTCAGCTCTAGTCTGTGTAGAGACACCTCCAGTCTCTCACGGTACACATTCCCATCATCTAATGCTAAGGCCTAGGGAATATCAACACAATACAATAACATTTAAATGTGACCTCAGCTCTAGTCTGTGTAGAGACACCTCCAGTCTCTCACGGTACACATTCCCATCATCTAATGCTAAGGCCTAGGGAATATCAACACAATACAATAACATTTAAATGTGACCTCAGCTCTAGTCTGTGTAGAGACACCTCCAGTCTCTCACGGTACACATTCCCATCATCTAATGCTAAGGCCTAGGGAATATCAACACAATACAATAACATTTAAATGTGACCTCAGCTCTAGTCTGTGTAGAGACACCTCCAGTCTCTCACGGTACACATTCCCATCATCTAATGCTAAGGCCTAGGGAATATCAACACAATACAATAACATTTAAATGTGACCTCAGCTCTAGTCTGTGTAGAGACACCTCCAGTCTCTCACGGTACACATTCCCATCATCTAATGCTAAGGCCTAGGGAATATCAACACAATACAATAACATTTAAATGTGACCTCAGCTCTAGTCTGTGTAGAGACACCTCCAGTCTCTCACGGTACACATTCCCATCATCTAATGCTAAGGCCTAGGGAATATCAACACAATACAATAACATTTAAATGTGACCTCAGCTCTAGTCTGTGTAGAGACACCTCCAGTCTCTCACGGTACACATTCCCATCATCTAATGCTAAGGCCTAGGGAATATCAACACAATACAATAACATTTAAATGTGACCTCAGCTCTAGTCTGTGTAGAGACACCTCCAGTCTCTCACGGTACACATTCCCATCATCTAATGCTAAGGCCTAGGGAATATCAACACAATACAATAACATTTAAATGTGACCTCAGCTCTAGTCTGTGTAGAGACACCTCCAGTCTCTCACGGTACACATTCCCATCATCTAATGCTAAGGCCTAGGGAATATCAACACAATACAATAACATTTAAATGTGACCTCAGCTCTAGTCTGTGTAGAGACACCTCCAGTCTCTCACGGTACACATTCCCATCATCTAATGCTAAGGCCTAGGGAATATCAACACAATACAATAACATTTAAATGTGACCTCAGCTCTAGTCTGTGTAGAGACACCTCCAGTCTCTCACGGTACACATTCCCATCATCTAATGCTAAGGCCTAGGGAATATCAACACAATACAATAACATTTAAATGTGACCTCAGCTCTAGTCTGTGTAGAGACACCTCCAGTCTCTCACGGTACACATTCCCATCATCTAATGCTAAGGCCTAGGGAATATCAACACAATACAATAACATTTAAATGTGACCTCAGCTCTAGTCTGTGTAGAGACACCTCCAGTCTCTCACGGTACACATTCCCATCATCTAATGCTAAGGCCTAGGGAATATCAACACAATACAATAACATTTAAATGTGACCTCAGCTCTAGTCTGTGTAGAGACACCTCCAGTCTCTCACGGTACACATTCCCATCATCTAATGCTAAGGCCTAGGGAATATCAACACAATACAATAACATTTAAATGTGACCTCAGCTCTAGTCTGTGTAGAGACACCTCCAGTCTCTCACGGTACACATTCCCATCATCTAATGCTAAGGCCTAGGGAATATCAACACAATACAATAACATTTAAATGTGACCTCAGCTCTAGTCTGTGTAGAGACACCTCCAGTCTCTCACGGTACACATTCCCATCATCTAATGCTAAGGCCTAGGGAATATCAACACAATACAATAACATTTAAATGTGACCTCAGCTCTAGTCTGTGTAGAGACACCTCCAGTCTCTCACGGTACACATTCCCATCATCTAATGCTAAGGCCTAGGGAATATCAACACAATACAATAACATTTAAATGTGACCTCAGCTCTAGTCTGTGTAGAGACACCTCCAGTCTCTCACGGTACACATTCCCATCATCTAATGCTAAGGCCTAGGGAATATCAACACAATACAATAACATTTAAATGTGACCTCAGCTCTAGTCTGTGTAGAGACACCTCCAGTCTCTCACGGTACACATTCCCATCATCTAATGCTAAGGCCTAGGGAATATCAACACAATACAATAACATTTAAATGTGACCTCAGCTCTAGTCTGTGTAGAGACACCTCCAGTCTCTCACGGTACACATTCCCATCATCTAATGCTAAGGCCTAGGGAATATCAACACAATACAATAACATTTAAATGTGACCTCAGCTCTAGTCTGTGTAGAGACACCTCCAGTCTCTCACGGTACACATTCCCATCATCTAATGCTAAGGCCTAGGGAATATCAACACAATACAATAACATTTAAATGTGACCTCAGCTCTAGTCTGTGTAGAGACACCTCCAGTCTCTCACGGTACACATTCCCATCATCTAATGCTAAGGCCTAGAGAATATCAACACAATACAATAACATTTAAATGTGACCTCAGCTCTAGTCTGCCTAGAGACACTTCCAGTCTCTCACAGTACACATTCCCATCATCTTATGCTAAGGCCTAGGGAATATCAACACAATACAATAACATTTAAATGTGACCTCAGCTCTAGTCTGCCGAGAGACACTTCCAGTCTCTCACAGTACACATTCCCATCATCTACACATTACAGTAACATTTAAATGTGACCTCAGCTCTAGTCTGCCTAAAGACACTTCCAGTCTCTCACAGTACACATTCCCATCATCTTATGCTAAGGCCTAGGGAATATCAACACAACTCTCACGGTACACATTCCCATCATCTAATGCTTAGGCCTAGAGAATATCAACACAATACAATAACATTTAAATGTGACATCAGCTCTGTTCATTCTTTAAACATCTCTATTTTCTCACAGCACACAAATAAAGAGTGACTGGTTAGTTTTTCAGCTTTAGATGGAGCCGACCCTTAACATTGACTAACAGAGCCAGTCTTGCAAACGTAAGCAAATAGATTTTTACCATTTGTTCTCATGTAAACTTAAAAAAATCAACTTCAAGCATTTATATTCAAAAATTGATAAACCAACAGAAAATTCATATTTGAATTTTTAATCAACTCACGTGAATGGCAAAGAAACACAGAAACATAAAGTTTCCAGACTGACATTAAGGGCATGGCTTGTTTGTGTTTTAAATTCTATTAACAGACATGGTCAATTAATTCACTAACCCCTGAAATTTCATAATGCACTATTCCAATCTTTGAATTGGAAGAGTTCAAATGTGTCTTTAGGGGTGAATGAGTTAAGGATGTGCCAGAATTTGGTGGTGGAGAAAAACCAGAGTACCTGGAGAAAAACCACCGACCTCCGGTCGGAACCTGGCGACTTCCCCACATAGGCCTCAAACCCACGACAGAGTGGTGGAGGGCTAGTTATTTTTTGAGGAACATGTACACTTATCCATAGAATGGATATATTTTATGACACAGATGACAAACTGTAATTACTGCCATATTAATTGTGTACCTTTTTGAGGTTGTCCATGGCCACCTGTATCTGTTCCTGGTCCTCCTCACACTTGGCTAGTTCTGTGTGTACCTGACATCGCAGGCTGATCAGTAAACTGTAACACACAATTTAGGGCTCATTAAATGGTCTCTTGACTTAGGCTTGTTAATCCAGAACAGTCATATTTAGACTCAGAAAGGTGATAACTTAGTGCTGAATTAGAAATAACATTGTCAGTTATAAAACAGTCAGTATTTTAAGTTGATAATACAACAGATATATTCTGTTCAGCACACGTGCTAAGGTTAAAAGAGAAAATCCTGCTGACACAAACTTGTCACCTGGGACTCACTGACTACTGGTACCAGTCAGAAGCAGTTACCTCCTTGTACTAGCTCTACCCGTTACCAGGCAAAGAGCAAAGATTTTTACATCTGAATCCAGACATCTGACAATATATATAAATGTATGGTCAATCATACCTCTCTATATCCTCCAAGGCCTCGGCTACCAGGGTGAGGGGTTTACGGGCATGGTGTCGCAGGTTGAGTTGAAGGAGAGGCAGACATGTGTTCCACTGGGTGACACATGCAGCCTGGATTACGTTTGGGTCACCATGCCGAATGGCATTCATAATGGTCTCCTCACAACGCTTGATAGCCTGTAACCTCAGCTGGAGATATAATAGGATTATCATTTTCATAATTACTACACTGTATATCATTTGAGGTAACATGAATCTGTTTCATTGTGAATACGCTTTATTGCCCTCATGAATGCCTCCCACTAAAACATGATACCATTGTAACTACAGGATTGTGGAGCTATGCTTGCTTCAAGTGGTTGTGACATCATTTACATTGATACGTCATTAATGCATCATTAGCAATTACCAGTCGTAACAAGTCAAAGACTGTTCATTTGATTGACTGAACAAGCAAGATATGATGACTTGCATAACAGGTATAACAATTTCATCTTTAATTGAGTGCTAGGTACTATTTCCTTTAAATGTTGATATACTACACACTAACTGCAGTGTATTGCAGGTTAAGGTTACATGGCTATGTATGAGCTGCATACATATTCTTAATAAAGAAAGAAGTCCCTCATTAAATAAGCAGTTCAATGTAGCTATGCTAACATGGTTCAACTAAAATAAGTTCAGTGTCATGTTGAAACTTTTCTATCTTCATCATAAATAATTATGTTGCCTTCTCCGTGTGTTTGTCACCCGTATGAGTTGAACAAGGGATGAAGAGCAACATTTCAGTCACTCAGGACACCAGCCTCGATCCGTGTTTTAGATAAAACTATGTAATGATGACTTACATCAATGACAGACTTCTGGTAGGACTCCTGTTTGTCGCCCAGAGAATGCAGCATCAAGTCACACTCCAGTAACTCAAGCTCCAGGTAGAATCCAGTCTCCTACAAATACATTATACAGCTTACTCTCATGGTACATTGTATAAAGATAATCCATGTGTCTTTTATAAACTACAACAGAATGTCCCTGAAATGACTTTCATAATTGACAAGGCTGCTTCTTTGTCATATTCATAATGCTATTTATACAAGGACCTATACATTTCCCATTGTACATTATACAATACATCTCCAGCACACATGCAGGCATACACACATAGGGAGATATTAGCCAGGTGGCATAGGACTAGTAGTTAGTGTCTAATAAGGCAGCTCCTGCGAATTCCTCAAAATTGTATTGATTATAATGTATGCTTATCTTTGTACTGTAAAGTGCTTTAGAGTGGCTTACTCTAGCTAGATAGGGTGTTATATCAAATGTTGTATATCATTATTATTATTTATTTAATGAAAGAACTATTTCCTTATCTGTAAGGAAAACTAAAGACAGTAAGAAGAGAGGGGATTGTCTGGTTCCAGACCTACAACTACACATCAGTAATAAATTACCTTGACAACACACTGCTTCATGTGGTTCACACAGTCATGGGCGAGATCTGCAAAGTCCAGGTCGAGACAAAACCGGCCAAGTTCCAGCAGCAAAAACGGTCTAACAGAATGAAGTGCAAACAAATACAATCTTTTGGTCGTTATTATGCTGTATTACTGTAATACTAAAAATTCTGTTCTCATTAAACTATTGACAGTAAACCCAAATAGTTGTTTACAAATTAAATGAAAATCTCTTTAATTCTAATTATTCTGTACTTGAGATTGGCGATGTCAAAGATTTAAAAGAATTTTCTTTGGGTTGTTTACTGTCCAATCTATATTAAATGATGCTGACAGAGGAACACATCTAATGTTCCTGGTTTATAAACTATACTTAGTACATAACTATTTTACAGGCTATCTAATGTTCCTGGTTTGTAAACTATACTTAGTACATAACTGTTTTACTGGCTATCTAATAAGAATATCTTAATAAAAGATGAACTGGTATATTTTCAAAGATGTGGACTAAAACAGGTGTGTAAATTACGTTATTTTTTATAAGTAAACATTTGATCACATACAGTAAATAATACACCTCGGTTCTATCTCCGAGGGAGACAGAAAACCTCTTCCTTAGCAGTGCTTATTAAATCATAAACTAGGTCAATAATACTAAAGCAGGTGACTTAAAAAATAAAACAGTTTCTACTATAATTAAAGCGTGTGTTCAATGTTAGTATGGGTGCTATCTACATATCAGCCATACCAAGTTCCCCATCATAGCAGCACCTTCTCCAAGGAACAAAATAATTAACAAAAGTACAGGATCATTCATGCTCTTTCAGAAATAATTTCATTTATCATAGAAGCAGTAATTATTTCTTGGAGTCCAAAGGACAGTTTTCACTTTCTAACTCAACCATTATAGGATATGACAGGCTTTTATACTGTTGGGAAGAAAATGTTTTCTAAATGTTTACGTACATATGGTTCTAGATGTAAATTTAGTATATGCATATACCATTACTTTATTGCATATATAACATAATTGATACCTGGGACTGTACTATAAAGCAAATTAACTATAGCTATCTATAACAGGAGTACCAGCGGATCCTCTTACAGAACTATACTCAGTACTGTAGCCGGAGAAAACCAACTAAATAAACTGTTCTATCTGTTCCTCTACCCCTCACTGTTTATGTAGGAATACATAAGGTTCTGCCTGTATTGCATGGGAACTCACTTGTCGGGGCTGTCTGGAGCTAATTTCTTTGTACTCGTAGGAGTGGGGGTTCGCCTCCCCGCCTTAGAAGGACTCCGCCTGTGTGAAAAATTCAGCCACTGATCTATAAACATCTACTGAACATCTATAAAATCCTCTAAATTGTCATCTACACATAGTGATACTACCTGTGAAATAGCTACATAGATACCAACTACAACTTAATATATCCCTTAATTGTCGAATCCAAACATCACATTCATCAGTCTATATCCATTTAATATTGATATAACAGAGGTGATAGTGCTGGGTGGAGTATCAGTAATGTATACCCAACCTTGTATTATCAATCTAGTATAATATTCAGATCAGCTTTGACTGAAATGAATTAATGTTATACTTCTCAATATTTTGCACTTCAACCAAGTGAGTAATGTCAATACAAGCCAAAACAGATATTTTTATCTGAAGACTCAATCTGGTAGAAAGGATTCATGAATTCTTTGCCGCGATGAATGTAATGAATTTTGGATTAGTCAATATAGGAAAAGAAATGCCAATCTACTGAACGTAATAATATCAAACAGAAACCTAGAACATATATTGATCTTCTTCAACTATGCAACCATAAGAAATTATATGTACATGTGTTAATTTTTTAGAGAATTCTCATTTCAAGACCAAGGTAATGCTATGGTAGATAAATCAAGACATATATTTTCGTACAATTTTTAATGAAATTATTGTATGTAATTATTTATTATAATTTCAGTGTTTAAAATAGCTGTAAGCATATTAACCTTGACAAATGAGTAAATGAAAAGATGATTTGATAATGAAATATTTGAAAATAGTAGAGTAACAAAAACTGCACATTAATGTCATGATTATGGTTGCTTGTGAATGAAGAAAATGCTAAGAAAAAAACCTGTAGTTCCAATAGGAGCACATTGTGTCTAGAAATGGAGAGTTCAGTGGCAAACCGGGCAACACTAACTCAGCGAACTTCAGAATCCCTCCGCATATCTTAGTTAAATAGCTGGTACTTTACATCAGCCATTAGGTTTAAACATTATGTCTAAGATTTATAGTACAATATTACAATTGTAAAAAGTTCCATAATGTTGGCTTCAGATTTTTCTCAACTTAAAAACACAAGGGTGCCAAACATATGTACTTTCACTCTTTTCCAAAAATTGTACCAGATTAAAACCTAGACTTCATGGTGAGTCTCTCTGAAGTGTGCCCGAGTTACCACATCACCAGGACGTTTCTCGCTACATTAACCCTGTGAAAAGAGGTGACATATACAGTATTGTATGCTTGTGACTGTGACAACCTGAGTCAGTTAAGACTGTGAGAACCAGAGTCGTCAGACTGCGTGAAAACCTAAGCAATTAAGACTGGGTGAGAACCTGAGCCATTCAGACTGTGTGAGAAGCTAATTCTGTCAGACTACTTGAGAACCTAAATTGGTCAGACTGATTGAGAACCTAAGTCATTAAGACAGCGTGAGAACCTAAGTCAGTCAGACTTTGTGAGAACCTAGTTCGGTCAGACTGCTCGAGAACCTAAGTTGGTCAGACTGCGTGAGAACCTAAATTGGTCAGACTGCATGAGAACCAAATTGGTCAGACTGCTTGAGAACCTTTTTGGTCAGACTGCTTGAGAACCTAAGTTGGTCAGACTGTGTGAGAACCTAATTCAGTCAGACTGTGTGAGAACCTAAGTTGGTCAGACTGCTTGAGAACCTAATTCAGTCAGACTGCATGAGAACCTAAGTTGGTCAGACTGTGTGAGAACCTAAGTCATTCAGACTCCGTGAGAACCTTAGTCATTCAGACTGCGTGAAAACATTATTCAGTCAGACTGCGTGAGATCCTGATTCGGTCAGACTGTGTGAGAACCTAAGTCAGTCAGAGTGCATGAGAACCTAAGTCGATCAGACTGTGTGAGAACCTAAGTCATTCAGACTGCGTGAGAACCTAAGTCGGTCAGACAGCGTGAGAACCTAAGTTGTCAGAGAATAACTCTCACCTCATCATCTCACCACTGGACACACTGCGATTTCTTGAAAAGGTAATAAAAGGAAATTTCTTTCGTTGAAACCATAATAATCATTAAGGATATGTTGATGGATGCTTGGGGGATACAAACCCTAGACACTGTATCAGCAAGGACATCACAGTAAAATTAGGCATTTAATTATATCAAATGAATACATAACCTCATTTTCAAAAACATCAAAGAGTGCTATCTTTATTACACTTAAAAGAAATTATTTTGAATCTCAGAAAAGCCAAACTGGGCTTAGGGAATGCATATTTTGTCATGAACTAACTTGTTTGGCATTTGGAGAACATCTTGATTAATGAACATGACGATTTCATTTTAAATATATGCCTCTGAGTTTGCTTCAACAGTAATGGTTAAAGTAATACTGTATACGGGGAAATTTGCACCACAGATAAAATACCCTTTTGCCAAATTTTGGTCTTCACATTTGATTACTATGTTTATTATATCGCTTATTACCAGTACTGTTCGTTGTAATGAGAAACTTGCCCTCGTTGCAGAGGGCGAAAAATAAACTGTGGCTATAATTTCCCGGTATTCAGTAGATATCTGGAATAATACACATCATAATGTTTTAATGCAGTAACATAAGATCAACTTTGTGCGCCAATCCACTATGTAACACTTATACCTTCATATGATATTGTGTTACCAGACAATGTGGATTACTGTTACATATCTTTATTGACTAAAATAATGACTTACAGACTAAAACCATGCTGTCATGCAGTATGGATACACTGTTGAGTGATATTGGAAAGATGAAGATATATATTTGTTATTAAATAGACTGTGTATGGTGGTCATTCCAGCATGAGCTACAGTGGAATTTACTAATCTTTACTGATAAATCAGGTATTCTGTTCCAGTTTTGAATTTATATGTACATGTATTAAAGTGTTTTTAACATTTCTATCCATATCAATAAAGAAATCCTACCAAATGAAGGGTTTCAAAATATTAATAAATTGATCAAATTCGAAAATAATTTCCCTATTTCCTGATCTGTACATCTGGAATGAACACTATTACTGCCTTCTCATTATAATAATGTGAATTCACACATCATGCCTTTTTATTTTCTACTACATTCCTGAACACCATGCTGGCAAGCATACCTCAAACCTTGTATCTATGTGACCTTATATACATATTGTTATACCAGTGCCATGCTAAGGACATTGTCACTCTGTGGCCGAGTACGAAAATTAAGTACAACATTACCTACACTAGCAATACAATTATATAAGACTGTCAAGATTGTCATACAATAAAGTTTCCTTGATACCAAGAAAATAACTTCTCTTATAATCTGAATTATATTAAAAATAATGATTAATCCATTCAATAGGTAAAAAAACAGATCTCTACAACCATTTGCATTTTAATTATTGATACAATATTTAAATAACTATTTATTTATTCAGTTTTAATACACAAAAACAATCATGATTTATTCCGTAAATCCCTCCCTGAATTAAAGACAAGTATGTCTACCAGACAACACATCCATATACACAAATATTCAAACATTTCACCTAAATTCTTTACAACAGAAACAAAGAAATTAGATCCTACACTTTGAAAAATGAAACAATGATAGTAACAAAAACGTATATTCAGAAAAAATAGAACCCATTTCACAGGAATGAACTACAACACCAGAAAGTTTAAATCTGTGTCATATAACTTGTTAATGTGTTAAACACAGAAGTTGGTGGTGTACCTACTGTATAACCTGACAGAGCTAACGGATTCCTTCACAGCTACGTCAAACCTACGATCAATCTAGACATGCATTGTTGGTGAGTGGTACCGCTAAATGACTTACGACTCAGAATCCGAGAAAGCACTCTGAGAAATCTCAGAGTGTTGGGACTGGGGACTGGGAAAAACAAAATATCACATAAGTCAAGTAAAGCAACTTCAACAAATGTGCAAAAACTGAATTAAATATAAAATTCAATATGTTTACATCTCCCACAATAAGGTCCCTAAAATACATTTCATTGTCAAACACATGAAACCCAAGGGTTAAGGTCTTGATCATCTTCTCTACATCTTTGTATATGTATGAGACCAGAACCCTTGAGAGTCAAAGAGGAGTCGAAAAGGAAACATGTAGATTTCTGTATTTGCTAATTAAGGCTGTATGCTGCAATAAAATATATAAGATGATAAAACAGCTACAACTAGTATCATCACTTTCGATGATTAGCGGTCCAGTGATGATAAGAAAATTAAGCAAATAGATATACGTAACATGTAATGATTTCTTTGTAATAAAAATTCTAAAAAAAAAGGTGCAAACTAAAATGATAAATCATACAAATAAAATTATTATAGCATTTTTATTACTTAGGAATATTTCTTATATATCCAAACCACCATAAAAATGTTAGAAAACAGCATTAATGAGACCTTGTCTCCCACTTCAAATCCATCACAACGTCAGGCTGAACATGAATGTGTAGGGATTTGGAGGAAGAGAAATCATTCGAAATTCCCTGAGACAAGCTCTTTTTTATTTCAAGTAAATACATAAAACACTCAAACAACATGACTGCAAAACTCTAGATTGATTAAAAAAAGCAAGTAACACTAAGTATGTAACTGTAATTTTGCACGTTTAATTGGCAATGATATGACAGGCCAGATATATTTTAGGGGAAAGTTTTCATATATATGTGCCTCAATATCTAATACAGTTGGTTACTTAAATAGTAGAGTAGTAAAGTAGCATTAATACTGTACATTGGTCTCAAATTTTTGTTTGTATCAGTATTTAAAATTGAAGATAAAGTTCATAAACATGTCTGTCTTTATTGTTATTCTGAAATCTAAGATCATTTTCATACATATTTGAAATACAAATTTGAGAAGCTTCAACCAACTGTTTTGCAAGAATGAAATAAAACTATGGCAAAGAAATGCTTGTTTCACAATTATATTTTGAAAATTCATTACGTTTATGCAACAACTCATTATTCTGTTAATTTCTTCATCTAGATATGTTCCCTTTATTGAAATCAATACAAAATTAGATTGAAACTAAACTAGCCAAACACATCCCTTTATTGGGACCAGAACAAAATTAGATTGGAACTAAACTAGCCAAACACATCCTGTAAAGAAGTAATTACTGATTAGATCATCACGTCCAGACCAGAAATCTTTGATTAGGTCATCACGCCCAGAGTATACTTACACCCGTTGTGATGAGTTTTTACGTACAAGTTCAGGGCGAGGTTTATCAGGGGTCGAGGAGCTCGACCTTACACTTTAAAGTCACATGTATAAAATGGTAGTTATACATCAATCCTTATATAGGCTTAACACCTACTAAACAAGTTTGTCTATTACAATTACAAGACCTTTTTCCCTGATATAGATTAGAAAACTTTTGAATAAATTTGAATTTTTCCAAATTCATCACCAAATGTTAAAAACTTGACTGCTGTAATCATACAGATTACCGTGATCAAATTTATTGCTTAAGCTACTGTTTGGTCATAAATACATCATCACCATCCATGAAGTTCAAATGAAAATCAGGTACATCATATTGTTTATGACAGGGTAGTTATATAAGTGTGAAAAGCCACTAAATAATAAATACATTTACAGTGCTGTTTTATGGTTGTATCTTTTACACTCAATATCACTGTTGTCATATATATACATATTGTAGCTTAAAACGAATATTCAGTTAATTAAGTAACTTACTTAAGAATTCTTCTTTTTTGGAATGCAATATTACTTTCGAAAGAAAAGGCCTTGTAAAGGGCTGAATCATGATGGTTAAATTTGAGCTTGGCACACATTTAAAATTATTTATTATTGGAGCTTGATTTATCTTTAAGTATCACACTAGTCAGCTTCATAAGATAGTAAAACTGATGGACGACTCTCTAAATTAACATTACAAGTCTTATGATAAATATACTGCTCTTAAAATTAAAAACACAACAAAGAAATTAATAACTGAAATTGTTTAAATAATATGTAATAAAACCCTGAACATATTAGATAATGGTATCATTATATACCTTTCTCTATCCTCCTCCAGTCGACCCCCAGGTGTGGGGCTGGCTGCAGTCCTCCCTCCCTTTTTGCCACGCCCCTTCTCTGTTTTCTGGGTGTTGGTGTCATCAGCCCCGCCCTGGGATACACCCATCTGGTTAAGGATCCTCTGGATCTCACTGTAATACTCACGCTGTTCATTCAGGTCTACAGATCTATAAAATAAACATAAAATAAAGTGATGGGAGGGATCTCATTTGTATAAACATTTTATTCCACCAATACAAAAACCAAATATCTCTTAGATAACAAATTTGACAGATATATTAAATATTCAAAAACAATATTCAATCAAGTATTTGTCCTATAAGCCCAAGACTCATGTTGCATATTGAAAATAAACCTTTTATTATTTCGTTTCATATCTACACGAATGTCCAACTATATACTTGCCTGTCTACACAATAACTTTCTCATACTTTCACAGAAAGATTTTATTTTAATATTACTTTTTAATTCAACCAGAAAGTTTTAAAAGTGAATACCCTATCAGTATAATGGTGATTAACACTTTTATATAATATCTGTTAGAGGTATGTGCCAAGAAGTGAGACATTTATAGCATTACAATGCTCTGATCACGTTTTAAATGATCTTACACTTTGAGTTTGAGTATCTTGTAGTACACAGCCAGTTCTGCGGAGTTCTTCACGTCTTTGTGTAGTTTGGCAGACTCTAGCAACTGGTTTCTCACCTGTCAATGAGTGGAAATAACACAAGTTAAGTGGTCATATACAACACGATGAGATTTGGACACAATCTGATTTACACAATAATTATATGTGTCTGATGAGTTGGACAGTAAACAGTAGTTACTCACAGCAGGATTGCACCAGACTGCCATTTCATGTCAACATTGGACATATAAAAACAATCAAAATCTTAATCCATGTACTATTTCAGGTGTAGATTCAGACCCCAAAAAATGACTTTCTTTCATGAAAAAAGACATATTTGATGTATTTTTGGATAGCGTAAATGAAGAACTGCAAGTTTTGGACCATCTTTTGACAATTCTGGACCCACCAGTAAATCTGAACAATGTTTGTATGAGAAATTAAAAGTTCTTCATGTAAATCTTATATTTTAAAATAAATTATTCATTTGTAATACAGAAATCTGACACATATTTCAATACAACACACGTGACAAAGAAAATCATTTTCTGTATACAATGTATACCAGTGATATCAATGGAAGAGCATAATACAAAAATAGAACTTACAATGATCCCAAACACCTTTTTGTACAGGTGAGGCACGTTAGTCTTGATGAAGGTGACAGCAGGATTGGCTATACTAGCAGCGTCATTCCTCTTCCCAGCATCCAGGTGACACTCAATCAGGGCTCTATAACCGTTAAAAAAACATTACATCAGCCGTACATCATAATCACAAAATCATCATCATTGTCAACTGATTGGACATAAGTTAGCGAAACAAAGTAATATCAAATTTAGTTTTATATTTCATAGAACATTGTACATGTATATTTAATATATCATAAAACTAAGTTGTAAATGGTTTAGTGCAGATCTTTTGCAACCTACAATTGCTTTTATTTGCGAAACCATGTTAAATGTACATAGTTATTCCCTGACAAACACAAATTGTTTTCAGTTCATGAAAACTATGTTTCCATCGGAATGTTAAATTTAAGAAAAATAATCGTTATAATTTTCTTTGGTATTTTGTACAACATACATCATGAGCTGAGCACGCCATTCAAAGTCTTTATCCTCGATGTCGTCGAGTGCCTTGACCACCTGATGGAGGCCACGTGCCAGGTACTGTTTGTAGTTAGGCTTGAGGAATGGGCGACAGAACTGCCAGTAGATCACAGACGCATTATACACCAGGAAGTGATACCTATATAAATAACATGTATCATAACATTAAGGTGCTTAGATAAAATCGTTGCTATCATAAAATCATATAAAAATACTATCATTATGAGGCAAGAGTTCCAAGCATACATGTAAACTTGTATCACCAATATATAACCAGCATATTTACCTGTTGACATTTTTTGTTAGTGGAAGTAATGGAATTTTAGAACTTCTTTGATAATAGAGAAAAATAACTGTGGAAAGAAACATCATGCAGTATAGAGGAATATCAACAGCATCTAAACCACTAGGGTTTACGACAAACTTACCTCACATTCTTCTTTGCAAATGAGATAGCTTTCAGTAAATACACCACTGCTTTTTCTAGCTGATCCTGAAAAAAATAACACATTGATAAGCTGTTATTTCATTACTACATTTTGTACCTCACTGTAGGGTGGGTTTACCTATACCTTAATGGGGTTTACTTTTTTACATAACTCACCTGTTACACAGGAAATACGCAATGTCCTACTTTTGTCAGATAATTTATGTCAACTTGCAATAGTAATGCCTCAGCTAGTCCAATTATGACATCACAGTAAGAGCAAGAGACATCATTAGATTTTCAAGATAGCACGTGTATGAAAACTTGATGATGGTCAAAGACAGCATTATTTTTCTCAGTATATTTACATTACTGGTAATTAATCCTTAATTGGTCATTTACATACATAATACATGTACTATTGACAGATATTTAATTTGTTTCAATTTCATCCCAGATTTACAACAAGTGACCTAACATGTTGATTTAATTCAGCAAAGCTTTTAAGCTAAATTAGTTTTAAAGTTTAATTATTATTAGCATTACTTACTGGGTTGTTTGCTTGCTGTGGGGCCAGTAGCTGAGCCTGACATAGATATGCTCTGCACAAGAACTGATTCCCAGGTGGCGGTTTCATGAAAAACATTTTGAGACAGTCCCTCGCCATTTCGTAGAGACCATTCTGAAAATGATGTATCTAATTACTGTCAAGTAAAAATCTTCATAAAATCATTACAAACCAACATAATGACCAATGCATGATCACCTAGCTTAGGGAATGGCTCCTCTACAATGACTTACCTGGAAGGAGATTTCTGCACAGATGACGTACAGGTCCTGTCCAAAAGCTTCCGGGGCATCCACAGACGGTTTGTTCTCTGCCACATTTCTAAGGGTTTCAAAAGCTTGATGAAGTGGTGAATTATCTGGACCTGTTGATGAAACAATGTGTGTAAATCAATATGGTATGTTCTGTACTAAGTAAATAAATCAAACATACTGTATGCCTAGATATGGAATCTAGAAGGCTTTACCTCAATGCTGACCTCAGATCCATAATGATCAGCTTTGATGGCAGATGGGAACCATATGAAGAAAATGAAGTTGTCCTCTGAAGAACAAATCCAATATAATGATATTATCCAACCTGATGAGCAGTTTCAAGAGCATATATATGCTATTGATAAATTACCTGAGTTTGTCAAACTTTTAAATACAATTTCCTGCAATACGGCTTTAAACACAATAGCTAGAGCTTATAATTTGTATTTCTCCCATAACTACTAAAGGTTTCCTCACTCCGGATTCATTGGATAAACCTGCTAGGAGTTGGTAAACATTTTTGATTACACACTGAAGTGGGTAACACCCTGGACGTGATTTCATTGGTCATTTTTTTACTTATGACATCACGTAACAATGCTTTGCGTTGTCATCTTCCATTGTGACGTCATGATTTATGGCAATTGTTTCCCCCATCGGAAGCCAACATTAAAGTGTGTTAATTTTCAAGGGAAACAATGTGACTTTCCAGATAGAATATGAACATTATAGGAGAAATAGTACCCCAAACTCGTGATGGTAGTTGATCATGTTTATCTAATTCTAGTTAGTTAATTTACAATTTGAAATTAATAACTAATTCAAGTTAGATAAACATGATGACCAACCATCACTCGTTGGGAAACCTATAATAGCTTATCAGGTTGGGGAAAACTCGCCTATTATACGCCAATCGGAGTATGGATTTGTTACTAAAAATAACCCAAAACGCTTTAACAGTAATCTTTGCAAGATATTATTAAAAATCGCATTAATTTACGACAAGGTAAATAATATTTTGCTAAAAGATGTTTACTGAAAGCTTTGGCTACTTAGAAACTTGATGTAACTTTACCGGAAGTATTGCATCTGTTTTTTGTACTTTCCCACATGCAATTAAAGTTTATTTTTGCATTTGTATTATGTTTCATGACTGAATAAATGCGACTTGGACAAACAATGTGAACAATTTAAGATTAAAGTGATTTTGGCTATTTTTTAGTAACAAATCCATACCCCTATTGGCATATAATAGGCGAGTTTGCGTAATATACGCCAGTTAGTGGTTTTCCCCAACCTGCTTATATAAGAGAGCTAGCTGACAGCAGAGGAAATGTAAACATTCCTATAGTTAGAATAAAATCATTGTATACACTGTACTTATAATAGTGTAAGTGTTTGAGGTATTCAGTAAATTTCCGCTGTTCTGCAACTTAAACGCATAGCATTCGAACTACAAATCAATGAAAATACTCGATAAGAATTGTGAGCACCTATGTGGAAGAAACTTCTGTAATCGTTGATATTGACGGAGGAAGGTTATAAAGATGAAGAATGAGATTCTCTATAACCGTTATAGCATTACGAATGAAACGAGAGATAAAACGAGGGGGGATGCATTATAATCTTTGGGAAAAAAACACGGAGGGGGGGGGGGGGGGGGGGGGGGGTCTTTTCGATTACACCTCCCCCACCCCACTTCCGCCGTATTTTGATATTTGTATATTAGTTTCAACGAGGCCAATGTAACCGAACGTCAGATACCGAGACAGTATCTACTGTGCAGACGAATAAAGAACGAAGACTGACGGGAGGGTAAGAAAAGTCGAAATATTATCGAAAAGGAGGTGACATGGTTCACATCTACAACACACACTCTAACTACCTGTTAACTTTTGAGCAGTCGTCAGCAAAGTGCGAATGCTAATATCCATATTGTCTTAATAACTGCAGAAACACCCGCGAACAATCAGAGCACCTGAACGACGTCCGCCATGTTTCAACTACGCGTTGCTATTTAGACCGCCATCTTTGTTTCGTTGTTGGTCACGTGATTTTTCGCGGGAGATTTGAAAATGGATTGCATGCCAGTTTTTCTACTCTCCGCTAGTCTTCGCTTCCAAAATGATGAGTATCAAAAATGCAACTGATGGTGATGGGCTAAAAAAGGTTAAAATAGTGCATATTATATCAATCTAATTAAGATAAGATAATCATTTCCGTTCTTACGTACTGTTCCATAATTAACGCAACACAATCAGGGGCGTAACAAACGGGTTTTCAATGTGTAAGCCCAATGATGAAATGTGCTGCCGAAGGCAACCCACCGAAGCGCGTAGCGCGAGGAGGGGGAGGGTATGGGTGGCAGGCGCGTAGCTGGGCTTTTTCGATATGCATGCAGAAAGTCGCACCGAAGGTGCGAATGCGAGCGCCAAAGGCGCGAATCCATTCTAGGGGGGCATGCCCTACCGGATTTTTTTTTAGATCTAGAAGCTCTGTTGTGCCATCTGGTGGCTTTTTAGATACATTTTTGGGTGTTTTAATTTATTTTACAGACAACATTTTTTGGTTGATTCATTCACTTTGTTATTGGAAAGCATCGCAAAAATTCAAATGTATTTCAAATGCGAAAGACAGCTCTCCTTTTTTTTCTCTACTCCAAAAATGTGTAGATTGTTGGAATTCCTCGAAAATATCCGTTGCGTCATATCTCTTTCCTGATGAATCTAAGTTAACTAGATATTTAAAATGTCGGAGCCAATATAAACAGATTAATTTCAGATTTTTTGCTGTTGTGTCCACCAAACCCTTTTTGTATCATCAACATTTCTCAGAACATAAGATGACGGTAGCTCCTATATCGATGTTTAGATATATGTATAGATCTACATATATATCCAGGAGCCCTACTGAAGATAGACCTAGGACTACTCTTAAAAACATACTTTATAAGTTCATTACGGGGAAAAATGAATGTATCTAACTACGTGTATCTATGATGTGAAATTCTCAATAGACCTATATATATATATATAATGTCACAGATTATAAAAAGCTAGGGGGTCTTACCCCTTCCCATCGATGTGGGTTGTGGGGGTCTCCCCCAGGAGATTTTTTTGTTTTCTAGAACGCCTGCAGAGACGCGTTCTCCCGTGTTCTGGCGTCAGTTTCAATGGCCATTTTAAAGCAAGAACATATTATTTTCCCCTATTATTTTACAAATATTTTGCTTTTTAATATTTTGTATCATAGTGTCTTTGTCGACTTTTTATTATTAAAATGATGTGTAAGCCCGGGCTTTTTTGCTACATACATTGTAGGTTGTTACGCGCCTGGCAATGACATGCTTTTAACTAAAAATCTTTATTTCAGTTACAAAAACCATTTCTTCATGGTAAAAAAAATCAGTATAAAACTACTTGAGGACAATTCGACAAATTCATCTATAAAAGCAAGTGCTCGCCTAAATTGAGATTGAATCTAAGTCTTCTTATTAGAAAAAATGGCTTCACACACGGTTTTCTTGCATGATCTGATTCTCGTTGCAAAATAATCGATTTCCTTGTGCGATATGAATATCAATTTTTTATGTTCTTAGTGTGCATGCTAGTCTAATTGAGTTCTAATTAAGGTTTTGTATAGAGCCTACAGTATTTTCATCCTCTTGTTATTGCTATTTAAATAATACAGAAGAGCAACACTCGACTTCCAAAGCCAGTTATTTTACCAGCTACGCTACCGCGAAATTCTTTTTGATGTACATCAAAGTATCAAAATGGTACAAGTGTCTTATCCACGAGGCGGTGCATACTGATCTGATCTGTTCGGAGATGCTTTCCTCGGGTCAAGTTAAAAGTAACAATATCGTTTCGTGATATACAGTAAATCTTCTAAAGTCTTATTGTAATTAATGATTTTAGAGAGATGGATTCAATCCAAACACGTTTGATTGGAAATATGTTTTTAAAAAGCTTTATGTAAAGGAAATGTACGGCAAAGGTTTCAAACGTAATGTATCGAATGTTACCAATGAGTCGTAGAGGGACGAAACAGGGCCCCTGTCGTCACCAATGAGTCGTAGAGGGACGAAACAGGGCCCCTGTCGTCACCAATGAGTCGTAGAGGGACCCCCTGTCGTCACCAATGAGTCGTAGAGGGACGAAACAGCTGTAAGATACAGTGTGATTCATTTTTGGCTTACTCTCTCTTTTACCAAAGTCTGTGTTACGTTCATCTTTCAAGGATACATCTTTTGAAGCGTTTTTGGGGGGTACTTATGCTAGATTTATGGAATGAATGTTGTCAACACGAGGCTTGGTATAAAGAATTTAGTGTGATTGCGATCTGTATGACGGAACAACAACCACTGTCACTCTGATAGTTTCAACTGATATCTCAAAATGGCAGTGTAAATTCCATGCCTGAGCAGCATTGTGTTTCCGCCGACATAATTTAGAAATGTCAGCAACGCCAGGGGGAATTAATTACAATGTACTCATTTATAATTCATCGTATATTTTACTTCATCTTGTTTTCAGGTAAACATACTCAGAAATTCCTTCAGTCGTTGTAGAAGATCCATCTGTCGGTAAAAAAATAAGTGACGTCGAGTTACGCCATGGCGACGCCACGCGTGCTGTCGTTCCGAGAGTCCGCCAGTTTTAGTGATATTGAGATTGAAGGTATGTCTGTTTTTTAAGTACTTGCCTGAGATTATAGGTATGTCTGTTTTAATTACTTATCTCTTCTAAGAGAGGTTAAGGCCATTCTTTTATTGCCTGGTATAAAACAGAGGTTGTCATGTATTATCAGATAGGCAGTCACCGGTTGGGAGATCAAATTATCCAATATCTTCTGTTAGTGACTTTGGTTTAGGTATGAAACGTAAAACGTTCTGTTGCCGACCAGTGTTGTATTTGCACATGCAAGACATTTTTGACTGTTTTATAACTACATGTTTTTTCTTTTCATATCTAAATCATAGTTTAAACATTGGGGATGGGTTGGTAGTTAATTGCAATAACAAATATATTTGTATAATTCCAAACGCTGCGAAAGAAGTGAAGCGAAAGTCGTACTTATTGTAGATATCAATACACCACCAGAAGTTATATTTTCTACAACCCTGAAATGGCTACCATACGTAAAAGACTTTTGTATCAGGAGTACATTTTGATGTTCAGGTTGTTGATAATTAACAACACGCATACGAAATGTTAATTCTAGAAGAACACGATTGTCTATTAACGATGAATTTCGTATACCTAAACATAGAAGTAAAGTCGTTTCTTGTCGCTCTCATGATCTCATCTGTATCTGTATCTGTATAGGTACGTTGAAAGACCACTTCTGGCATATAATCAACGGAAGGGGAGAGCGCATGGAGGTTTTTAGTCCGAGTGGAGGCGAGATTTAAAAATCTCCACAGATTTTACAAGGATTTGTTCGTCCTGAAGATGGTTCCAGTCTATTATAGTCCTGGTGAAATAAGTTTTGAAAACAGCGGCTATTGTTTGTTACACTATTTTCAACGTTGAAAATTAAGTTGTTAAAATGCCTTGCTGTCACTTTGCGTTAATTCTCAATGGTTTGAGATAGGGCTGAGACGGAATAGCTGGTACCAACCCCTACACCACCTTGAACAGGAAGGTCAGACGTAGCTCCTTTCTGCGTGGTTGTAATGTTTGCAGGTCCAAGTCCCTGAGCATGTTGGCGACGCATCCAGGAGTTTTTGTTCTGTGGTCGCACGAGATAAATCGAGCAGCCTTTCTTTGAATTATCTCCAGCTTGTCAATGTCCGACTGGAGGAATGGGTCCCATATGATGGCTCCATATTCAAGTGTTGATCTGACAAGCGAGATGTAGGCCGATTTCCGTGTTGTGGCTGGGCAGTGGTAGAGGTTCCGCCTAATAAAGCCTAGGGTAGAACTAGCTTTTTTACAGATATTGTCGATGTGGGTTTCCCATCGGAGATCAGACGAGATTGTGATGCCAAGGTAGGGGCTAGTCGGAACTCCTTTGAGGATAGTGTTGTTCAGTTGGTAGTAGTAAGATGACTCCCGCTTGATGTTAGGATATACCACTTGCTGGTGTTGAATCGCATGCCCCATTGCTCGGCCCAAAATTCAAGGTTATTGAGGTCTTGCTGGAGGGTTATGTGGTCCTGGTGGGTGCGTATGACCCTGTATAGCAGGCAGTCATCTGCGAATAGGCGTACTTGCGACTTGACGGCATCAGGCAAGTCGTTGATGTGGCACAAAAATAATAGAGGGCCTAGGACTGTTCCCTGGGGTACTCGGAGGCAACAGGGACTTCTCTTGAGGATTCACCTTCCACTACTACCTTCATGTGCCTTTGGCAGAGAAAACTGTTCCATCGATATAGATTTCCACGTACGCCGTACGAGTCCAGCTTATGCAGCAACCTCCTATGGGGCACCGTATCGAATGCCTTGGAGAAGTCCAATATGGCGATGTCAGTCTGTGATACTCTGTCAAAGTTGGAAACAAAGTCGTGTATGGTAACAGCAAGCTGGGTTTCACATGAATAACCAGCACGGAAGCCATGGTTGAGAGGTGACAGGATTGCGTGTTGGTCAAAGTGATTTAGCAAATGATGACAGACTATGTGTTCGAGGATCTTTCTGAGAACAGAGGTCAACGATACAGGACGATAGGTCTCTGGTGCATGACGATCTCGGGAGTCCATCAGATCCAGGGGCTTTCGATGTTTGTATATTGAGTAGCAACTTCAGTACTCCTGCCTCGCTGATCTCGATGTCCTGGATGTCTCCATCATGGGTGAAAACCGAGCTAAACTGGTTGATGAGTGCTTTCGCATTGGATTTCCCATCACTGAGTAGCTGGCCTTTGCTTCGTAATGGCGAGACTCCAATGTTGTCCTGCTTCTTGCTTTTGACATACTTCCAGAAAGGCTTTGTGTTGTTGCTGTCTAGACCCTTTTGGATAACCTCATTGACGTAAGACCACTCGGCTCGACGAGATGCTCTCTTACACTCCTTTTGATGGTGGCGAA